TAATTTACAACGTTTTTTCTTATTTTTAACTTGCAACATGAAGAATACAGGTTACAAACCCATCTCATTCCCAAATCCAAGGTATCCCTTGTCTCCCTCGGGAGCCTGCAGCAGCCAGACCCACAGAGTAGATATCTCCTACTGAATCCCTGCTGTAAGAACCAGACCAACACAGTGAGCCTGCGCCTCACTGTTGACCCACATCCGGTCTGATCTCTTCCAGCTCCCTGAGCCACTGAGTCACCATGACTGTCTGGAAAGCTGTTCAGGTTGCTTAGCTGGTCTCTAATCCCAAACCTTCCCTCCACATCTTCTAATCCTGAAAGTCTGTGGCCTTGGAGAGACCCAAATTACTTTTCATTCCCCTGAAGAAAATAGCTTCCCATGCCTCTCAGGACAAACTTCGAACTCACGACTAAGGTACTTGTCATATCCCTTGGTCACCTCCCGCCCTTCTAGGCTTGTCACCTCCATGTCTGGAACAAAACTCCTTCTCGCACACAATGCACACAGAAACTCTATCTGCCCAAGAAGTCCCTAACACTCATTCCTCTCCAGACACCAGGATCCCACTAATTTCCCCTAACTCTCTTTACTAAACAGCACAGAGCCTAATTATGTACTGATTAACAGTAGTAATATATAGTGATTGCTGGGTGACAGTCTCTCTTCTGTCCTCCAACACTCACTCTCACCTCTTGATTGAGAAAATTGGGGTCAAGAGGCGGATCCTACCTACTTAGCCTGTAGGATTGCGCTTGCGCATAAGCATAGTACGCCCCAGGAACGTGTCTAATTAGCTACTAAGTGAGCACGTTGACTCATCTAAACTTTAACAAGCCCGGGGCAAGCCATTTCATCATCCAGAAGGAACCACCCAGAATAGCCTGGGTCTGCGCCCAAGGTTTAAAGGGCAAGATCTGAGCCACGAGAAAACTTCCCGGAGTGCACAGACCACAAAGTACAACAGCTTAGCGGGAATCAGCGCAACTAAGCAACGCCGGCCCGCCCCGCTCGCAAAGAGTAAGGATCACAATCTGCTGCATATGCATGAGGAGGACTATAGGCCAGAGGTTCGGAGCTATCCAAACTGCGCCTGACTAAAATTTCTTCGGGTTTGAAGACCTCAGTGCCCCGTAGTTTTATTCACGAGCATACAAAGTCTATAAAAGATCTTCTGTGGCAGATACTGAGGGAAGAGTGCCCGAGGGTAGCCCCACTTTGGGCCTGTATATCAGGCGTCTGCGACGGACAGCCTGATTCTGGACGGGGTCCTTGGGCCGCCCCGACTTGAAGACGAAGGGGGCGTCTCCCCAGCTTCTGCGGCGTCGGTGGCGAGCTAAGGTGGAGGCAGGCTGCGGCAGCGACGGCGACAGTGGCGGCAGTGCCATGGCGGGGCTCGCAGGTATCGTAGCGTCGCCCGCCTGGGCGGGGTGAGAGGTCCTCGGCGCGGCCGCGGCGCCATGTTGACCGTCCGGGGTCACCTTAGGCGCCGCTTGGCCTCTCGCCGGGGCTTTCCTTCAGCGCGGCCGGGGGCGGGCGCACTCTTGTCTGACGTCGGCCGAACCGCCCCGCTTCTCCCCAACCTGGGCCTTGGGGGAGGGGTTCCCTTTCCGTCCCGAGGATGGGTTCCGGGACTCCTGGCTGTCACTCTGGCCTCCAAGGTCAGCGAGCTCCCGGGGTGGGACTGGGAGCTCGGGGCGCGACCACCACCTCTACTGCTTGGGCCTTTGACGAGGGGCTCAGCTTTTGAGAGGCCGGCCATTCTTTCCTCGCCACTTCAGTATCTATCTGTCTCTGTCTCTCTCTTTTTGTTCCATCCAAAGAAGTGTGGGGAGAAGGGAGAACCAGGCCCTGAACCCTCCCTCTCTTTGGTGACTAGCTGCTTCGGGTCCCGGGTACTCTCCTACCAACTTTTCATCGATTCTGAACACCGGTTCCCTCTCTCCGGTGTATGGGGAGTGGCCCTCAAGGGCAGCAGAAGGAATGGCATGCCTGTCACACTCGCCTTGGCCTGGAAAGGAAGAATGGGGGATGGGGACAATCGATTTTTCCTTCTCCTTCCAAACCACCTTTAGTTTCTGTCTAGCTCTCATGTCCCTTTTTAGTTGGGAAACTGCGACCTGTTCTGGTTTATAGGTTCGATTCCCCCTTTGTCACTTTCAGGGAACTAATGTATTGGGGACGGCTTCTCTGCCCAGCCTGACATGGTCCAACCATCCTGTTAGCCTTCTGGACTTCAACAGCAAAGCCAGGAGCCCCAAAAAGTTCCATTTTAGGTGCTTGTGCCAAGTATTAGAGTGAACGAGCTTGTTTCTTTTAAATCACGATTCATTAATATCAAGAATTCCTGTTCAGAGATTGGGTTTCTGGAGCCTTGGTCAGTTTCCAGGCATCAGTTTAATTCTGTATCTGGAAATGGGCATCTTCGAGTTGCTTCCAAAACAGTTTAACTTCTTGTCTGTTGTTTCTAAGAGGAATCAAAGTTAGACTGTCCTCTCTTCTTGTTCTCTTGTCTTTGAAATGTATGCATTGCATTGCAAGTGTGCCGCTGTATGATCTACCAGGAGCCATGTATTGCCTTCCTCTCTGTCTTCCGGCTCTACCTTGGGAATGTTCAGGAATCCGTTCTACTGTGGTATGAGCCCTGTGGAAGGGGAACAGGATCATTTCCAGAGAAGTTGTGGCAAACGTGTCTCTCTGGCATGTACAAGAAGTCAGTAGTCACCTGGAAAAAGAGACTTTGATAGACCAGTATTGTGTGTACACATTTAAATCTCCTGGGGGCGATCAAGTGCCAGCTGAGATTCTCCCTTTGGGATATTGGCTCCTGAAGAGATCCAAGTTTGAAAGTAGATATCTAGGAAGTGGCCTTGTTGTAATTAGGCTATCTTTGGCTGGCCCCGTAACCCAAGCCAAAAAAAAAAAAGCTTAATCCCTGCCCTGTCCCTCAAAGGAATCCCTTCTTTCAACCACAGTTCACTCACTCTACAGATAGAGGTAACAGTCACCCAGAACCCACATCTCGAAAAGTTTGGTACTTAGTGACCTCCACCCTCCTGAATTTGCACTGGTCAGTCCAAGAAATAGCCTTCTCCGGCATTAGTCCCTGGCATCTTCATGTGTTGCTAGATTCCCGTAAAGCTATTCCACTTCGCTCACAGTTCATCTGCATGCCTTTAGGAAAAAGGGATATCTAGCTCTGGGTACTAAGGGCTTTGCAATAAAAGAACACATCCTGTTGTTTTATGTGAGAGTAAAATGTTTTAATAGTATATAGCTTGTGGAAACATTGTATAAATAAGGTATATTTGGATCAGGCTTGCAGGTATAACATAAGGATGGGGCATGAACACATTCCTTCTGCCTTCTCTAGGCTTAGTTTGCTTTCAGGACAGCAGGGTATGGGGCAGGAGAAGAAAGTGAATAGTGGATATTTCACATTCTAAGAGCCTCCAGAGTAATCCTTGCCTGGAAGTCCACACGTATCACTGATGGAGAGTAGATGGAAGGAAAAAGTTTTGCCAAGATCATCTGGAAAGCCCTGGGGTTCAGTAGCCTCTTGGCTTGGGGGATGAGGGGACAAAATGCACTGTGTCCAGAGTAGCCAGACTCCTTTCTCCCTGCTTTGACTGCCTTTGTGAACTCAGCTGGCATTTAGCTGGGCTGAGGTTAGAACATATGGAGCAGTAGAATGGCAGTGCCCCACTTCCCCCCCTCATGTCTCCAAGAGGAGGGTCAACCTTCATTGGGAGCCTGTGTTGATATCTACTCATGGCTCAATGAATTTAGTATGGCAAACCACAGAAATTCCCAGTCATGAAGGAGGTAGGTGCTGACTGCGGATAAGTAACCTTGGGGCAAAAGACCTGACCTAACTTTGAGCAGCAGCTGTGTCCACCCTGCTGAGGAAGATGGAGTCTTAGAATGCATGTTGCATCCAAATCCTGTGGAATTCCAACTGTCTCTGATGTGTGTGGGGTTCTTCTGGACCTTAGTAGGGAACTAAAAGCGACCTGATAGGGTAGCCAACTGATTTAATGGATGGTAAAGCCAAGGCCACACATAGTTCTACACTACTTGCCCCAATTTCCTGGTGCTGAAATTGCATGTATCTTCAGAGGTGCCAATGATTGGCCTGAACATCAGGCTTTTTCAGGGGATGGAGACAGGTCAAGGTTCAAGGGGATCAAGGTGCTTTGTGTATTTGTGATGTGCCTAAGGGATTTGAGGAAGCAGGAGGAGGGATTGGTGGCTTTCCAGCTCATTCCTTTAGTAGTGACATAGAACAGGTGTGCAGTGACAGGGAGGGATAAAACTAGAGAAACAGCTTAACAGGGGGCAGGACTGTTGGGTGAGGCAACCGACACTTGCAGGAAGAGCCATGGCTAACCAAGGAGGGGACTAAGCAGCCAGCCCGCTCTCCCTGATGCAGTCAATGGGAAAGGAAAGTGCAAACTAGCGACCTGATTAAAGCTAGTAAGGATGTACCAAGAAAACTGGGGGCAGGGGTTGTCTAGCTGGAGGGTTGAGAACGCCAGGCAAGATGACCTTAGGGGTGATTCTGGGGCCTGGAGCATTGAGCTGGTTGGAGGAGTTGCCAAGCCATGTCTTTGTCCAAACTAGTGCCCCCTTTCCTCCCTAGCAATTGTTTCTTGGGACTCCTGGGTGGAGTTCTGGGGTATAGCTTTTTATTCTCAAATCAGCCCTTGTGGTCCTCAGGATCCCATTTAGAGGGCCATCCCCATTTACTTTCTCCCCATCTTTCCCAAATTGATAACCTGCCATGGCATGGTACCTTATCTCAGGACCACCAACTAAATGCATTCATTATCCTGGGGAAGGGGAAATGTCCCTTATTCTGAGACAGATGAATACCACTTTTTTGATTGGGGATGAGAAATAGTCCTTTATCTCAGGACATTATTGAAGTGAGGCAGGTTTGAGAGTCTTTGTTTATTCTTGTCTTCTTGTCACCCCCCCTTTCCCAAGGGGTACACAATAGATACCTTGCCCAGCTTTAGAGATGTGTGATGCTGTCGCAAAAGAAGCCACAAAGGAACTTTTTGGTGTACCCCACTGCCCTGCATGGTTCTAACACTGTACAAGACAGGAGAGGTGATTTTATTTTTTGTGGAGGTGGTCCCTGATCTCCAGGAGCTTACAATCTAGCTGGGGAGACACAACTAATGCACATGTAAACCAGTACAGTTAGCGACTACCACAATATTGACCTCAACTGCTGCATGAGACCAGGGACAGCAAGATCAGTGAAGGCCCAGGGGTGGGAGAAGGTGTTCTGGTGAAGGTGGGATTCAGTTACTAGTTACATAGGGCTGAATCAAGTGACACATTTTGGGGAGGGGTTTGGAAGGCAGGGTTGAAAGGAGGAATGAGGGATCAAGGCAGAAATAGGCGTGCCATAGGCAAGGGACAGCAAGAGGGCTCCTCTGAATTTCTTAACCCACTTCCACCCCCACCCATGCCCTCCAGTCCCACCACACCACACGGCATGCAGTCGATGTTTTCTCTTCTGTACTGAGATTCAGGGCTTCAGCTGGTGATGTCAGAATGTCCATTCTGCTGGTTGTTGGGATGTTGAATCTCTGTGGTAGGATCTGTCATGTGGCTGAGATGGTGCTGTTACGACTTGGTTCAAATCAGAATGTGGTGCATATGCCCAGATCTCGAGAATTTGCTCCCCTCTTCCCCCTCCTCTCCCACCCTCCGGTAGTGGGACAGGGTCAGAGGGGTTGGGAAGGGAACGGATATCTTCATCATTGTCGGTGCTGCTTTTCCAGGGGCCTACTGGCCCCTCACTGACCTTGGCAAGTGCGTCTCTGACGAATGAGCACAGGGGACCCCCCCCATTACTGCGCGGCACTGGCTCCCATGCTTGTTGAAAAGCATAGGAGCACGTGATGACATGGCCGCCCAGGGCTGGGATCTGGAGCCTCAGTTGGGGGCTTGCTGCCTGCGCTCCCCTAGCACCTGCCGTCCGGTCCGGGACACAGTGTGTGCCAGCTTCTGCAGGGAGTACCTGAACACCTGCGGTGAGAGATCCAGGACCCACTCTTAGAGAAGCACCCGTGACTCCCTGTTGTGCTGCTGCTACTGCTGCTTGCTGGTCCTGCTGTGTTCCCGCCCGGCCCCGCTGCCGGCCACGCCCGCCTGTCCGGTGTAGCCTGGAGTGGCGGCCGACACAGCTTGTCTACGAGTCAGGGTAGCTGTGTGTGAGAGCTGTACTGAGAGCTGCATAGCTGCGAGCTGATTGGACCCACAACTTAGGTATACCTCACTTTTCACAGTGGGCTGTGTCCCTGGAGGATTTCGAAAAGTGAATCCTACCCAGTAAATGACAGCATTCCATGAACACCTTGAAGGAAATGTGCGATTCCTTTGGCAAAGGATTCCTTGAGCAGGGAACTCTTCCTGCAAAGGGAACTCTTGGGGTAGATGGTTTTCTGCACAAAGCGCCTTCTTCGAATTCGGCTTTAAGAAAAGCACTTTTGCGCGCGCGCTCTCTTTTTCCATAAAATGAAGCTCTTTCCATTTTTTTTTCTGCGAAAGGCATTTTCCTCTAATTGTTTTATTCAACGTGTGTATATAGTTAGTTATTTTTTCTGTCCCTTTGTTTCTCATCCAATGCTCTTTATCTAATGTTTTTTTTCCCTGCTAAGTGCCTTTGTCTGGTTATTTTTCCTACATTGTGCACTTTCTTTATTTCCTCCCCTTTACTGTTTCCTCTGATTTATTAAGATTCTTTTTGTTGAGTGTTTTTTTCCTGAAAAGTGTCATTTTCTAACTTATTTTTCATCCCACCCCACAAGTGTTGTATACAGTGTATTATTTTTTAAAAATTTCCCGCAATGCGCAATTTTTTAAGGCGGAAATTTTCTGTGGGCGAGCTCTAAAGTCTCGCAGCACAAAGTGCCCCGCCTCCCTCCTGGGATCGAGTTTGAGTATAGCCGGTGATTCTTACCGCATTGGTTGTGATCGTCCGCAGCGGGCGACCGCCGAACCCCTGAGTCTTTGTTCCTGGCCGGGCGGGGGCGCACTGGGGACAGGGTCTGTGCGAGGATGTGGGCACGCACGCGAACGGGCGGGGACAAATAGTACCACTGTGGCACTTTGGGTCCGGGTGCGCTTCGGGTGCCCTCTCCCATCCAAAGCCCGGGCATATACTCACCTGCAGCAACACGCGGAAGATGTACCAGCCGATGATTAGCAGTTCTGCCGAAGCTGCTGTCACTGCGGCCATGGCTCTGAGAGTGGGTGGTGGAGAGCGAGGGTTCGCCGAGGTCTACCGATCTCAGTCTCGGAGTCCGCTGTTGGGCGCACTGCCGCAGCCCTGGTGGCTGTGTACCCTCCTGCCATCTGAGTGCGCATGCGCGCTTGGTGGGGAGGGAGCTGTTGAGGAGGAGGGGTGGCGGGGGGGCGCTCCTCATTCGCCAGGAGAGGAAAAAAAAATCCGTCTGTTCTTTCCACACGGACCCCCACCTCCCGAGTCCGCTCGTAACACCCTTCCAGAAGATTCTTCTGCTCTGCCCACTTTTGAAATTCAGTGTTAAATGGAGGGGAGTCATGGCTCTAGAGTTTAGAGTGAGGGTAGGGCTGCAAGCCTTTTGGTATGACATACCCAAGTCTGCACATTTTAAACTCATGCCAACTGTTTTTTGTGAAAGTCCTTGATTGTTACATACCACTTTCTCGGCTGTTGCTTCCCCACTCCGCCCAGCAGGCGGTGGTGGCTGCGGTCCCCTCTGCTCTTAGTAGCTAAAGTGATTGTGTCTACTCTGGAAAGGATGTAGGAAGAATTGATGCCCTTTGTGTGCGCCGAAGGAGCGAGATTTTTGAAGAAATGATCCAAATGTATTGGGACTGGTTTTCTGTGGGACAGATGGTATCAATCTCTGTCTTGTGCTCCCCTCCCCCAATCTCTAGTAAATCTGCCTGGGATGGGTTGGTTCTTTGTACAGGTTGCTTCGCATCTGGAGCACAGAACAGTATTTTTCAATAGCCTCCAAGGGTTATGTCTTAATATGGCTACTGTCGCCTAGTTTCAGAGTAAAGCTAGTGTCCTTCTCTTAGTGTGATCTTAAATCTCTAGTGAAGCGCGACTTGGGTGGAAAGGCCAAATTGCCATCAAGCTACTTGGGACCGAGGCCAAATGTATTCCCCTATGTGGACAGAAACCTTACAGAAACCCAGCTCTGTTCAATGTCAGTAACAGATGAAGGTTGGTTTTTGGTTTTTGGTTTTGTTTTGTTTTTTTGTTTGTTTTTTCACATTGACTTGAAGTTGACTGATTTGGGCTAAATGTTACTGGGCTATTTGAAAAAAGCAAGCATGGCCCAATCAATCTGCCATCTTAAAATATTTGACGCCACTTGACTCTGTCTTCCCATAGCTTGCCAGGATCAGAGGATCCACTGTCTGGCATCTCCAGGTTAGCAGTTCACAGATAATTGCTGTAACTTGGCATACAGTTACAGATGAGACTAGATACAGAGCCATTTCTTACCACATGGGGGCACAACACCAAGTCCATGGTGTCCTGTGGCAACCACAGGGCGGTATTGTGAGGTCTGGGACCTTTGAGGACGGGCCGCAGCCCCAGGAGGCGATACATGATCTCTGCTGGGCAGGGCCCAGGCAAAACCAGTCCACTGTGGGGACCGTGCCCTCCTGGGAGCCCCCAGTAGAAGCCCAGGGAAGACACACCCCAGAAGGCCACCTTAAACTCGTAATGTGGATAAGATAGACATTCATGGGTGGGTGGGGAGGAAGGGGCATTCACATTTGCTGTTGTTAACCATGATCCATTTCCCCAAATAAGTATACATTTTGTTCCTGTTTTTTTGTTTGTTTTTTTGTTTTTGTCTGTCTGTCTGTCTGTTCTTTGTTTGTTGTGTTGACTTTTCTCTTCAGGATCCTTGCTGCCTTGGTGATCCCAGGCTGACAGCCAGAGAGCACAGCGGCTCAGCTCCTGGAGAGAGAGTCGAAGAAAACGGAGGGCAGCCACCTGTGCCTGCTGGCTCCCATTAGGTCGGTTCCTGCAGCGGTGCCTGGCAGCCTTGGTGAAGGCCCTGCCCGGCAGAGATCATGTATTGCCTCCAGTGGCTGCTGCCCGTCCTCCTCATCCCCAAGCCCCTCAACCCCGCTCTGTGGTTCAGTCACTCCATGTTCATGGGCTTCTACCTGCTCAGCTTCCTTCTGGAACGGAAACCTTGCACAATATGTGCCTTGGTTTTCCTGGCAGCCCTCTTCCTCATCTGCTATAGCTGCTGGGGAAATTGTTTCCTGTACCACTGCTCCGATTCCCCGCTTCCGGAATCAGCCCATGACCCTGGAGTTGTGGGCACTTAACAGCTGCCGAAATAGCTTTCTAAGGAAGCAGAAGACGGGAGGGGAGGCATTGACATAGGTCATAAAGCATTGGAGTTTCAAATCCCGCAGCCCTGCGGGTGCCACATTCCTAATGGAGCCTTTTGGCCTGTGATGTTTTATCCTTATAATGTGAATAATGGCACTGACCGGTGCTTCTATTGTAACGTCCTGTAGTCGTGGGTGGTCTTACGGTTGTGCGTTCTGTCACCATCTGGGTCCCGGCTGACGGATTGGCCCATCCCATTGCTCATCGTTTTGGAGAATCTACACCCATCCTGGTCAACCACCCTTGGGCAGATACAATGCTAGTCTCATTGTCACCTCCGTGACCCTTCCTCATCAGGATCGTCCTGCTTCCCTCCTCAGTCCCTTTCCCTGGTTTTCCCCTTGGTTCTCTCCCACCCTTTTCCTTTTGGGGGAAGCACCTGTCCAAGACAGGGCTTATTTTTGCACTTATCTCAAATTTGAAGAGATTGCTGATGCCCGAGAGCCTCGCTTTTTCATCTTTCTTTCCCTGTCAAGCAGGAGAGACGGAATTGTGTCTCAACTGTTTGTTGTCCACAAACCTCCAGTATTTTCTCTGCCTCATTTTAAAGAAAGAAGCAGTGGAGAGACATTGTTCTTTGGCCTGGGTGTCTGGGCTCTTGCCTTCCAGTCCAGCCTCTCTCCCTTTGCTTTTCCTTCTGCCTCTCAGCCGTCCTAAGGGGGCCACCTCTTGTTTGCAGTGCATGCTCTTCAGGAGGGAGGTATGCAGTGTTCTTGTAGATCAGTGGACCCCAGCTGAGTGAATGAGAAAGTATTATGTGTTTCATAGCAGCCACGATTCCCTTGGTAGTTGTTTGGGTATTTTTTGATGTGCTCTGTATATGTGTGCACGCATGTGTGTGAGAATGTGTGTTTTGTGTGTGTGTGTGTACATACATGTGCGTACATATGCGTACATGTACAAATACATGTGTATATTCCTTTTGAAGAAGCTTTACTGAATGTGTTCTGATTTTGAGGTTTGGTAGTAGTAACTAGCTAGTAGGTCCCACTGCAGTTTTTATTTGGCATGGGGATTGCAGAGTGACCAGCACAGTGGACTCCAAGGTGGTTCAGACAAGACCCAGGGGAGCAGTGGCCATCGCCCTCCTGCCAGGAGCCTCTTCGTTCCTGCACACATAGACTACACTATGAAGAACACACAAGACGACTTGGTGACTTGGTACTTGTTTTATATTCTCTGCGCTTCAGTAACAAGTGTTGGCAAATGAGACTTTCCTGGTCCCTGCCCACTGGGGATCAGCATGGTTGTTCTTCCAGTCGGAAATGTCCTCTCTTGTGTGCAAGTGAGGGTGGTGAGCCAGGCACAGAACTGGACGCAAGCACTGGGAAGTGGGACTTCGAGGCCACACTTGTGAAACGCTCGGACTGCTGTTGTAAAGCTTTTTTCCGGTGTGTTCATTCTACAGCTGTTTGAAATGTTTAATAAAGCTTTATAAACTTTACTTTGTGGTTTTATGTGACTGCAGCATTTGGTTCATGGTGTTGGATTTCTGAGTTGGTAGGGGGCAGGGTAAAACACATGGGTCTGAGTCCTTGGCGCCAAAGTACCTTAGCTAGAGAATTTGATCTGTTCTCTGGAGAGCAGATGGTGGGGTTGGGGGAAGGGCAGGGGTAGTAGCAATCCAGGCAGTGAACAGGAGAGAGTCTGAAAGTTTTCAGAGATGAGACATCTGTACTTCTCAGCTCCCATGACTTCCCGCCTGAAACTTCACTCCATAGAAGACTTGAGTAATGGATCCCTTGATAAACAATTTAGGACAGCTGGTCATCAAAGATTTTTATGATGCTGCTTTTGAAGTAAAAATAAGTGAAACCCCTCATGGCATCTCAACTGAGAAAATAAATAAGGCTTGCCACACCCAGCATGCCTTAGGTGCTAGCTAGAAGCACAGAGGGATAAGCCCTTTGCTGTGGATGTGCACGTGTTAACTGTGGCTGTGACCTGGGACACTCAGTTGTGGCAGCATGCCAGGGCCCTTTGCTGGGTATTCACCTGCAAGTCTCCCTCTCAAAAAGCGGAACAGGAACACTTCCTGAGAAGTGGGAATTGTGAAGGCTGCCAAGGTAAAGTTTGAAGATGGTTTGGTGACTTTAGGGAAATTCATATTGACCTACCTAGACATTTCCTTTATTGTGGGAAAGATGTATGGATTTATTCCCATTCTTCTGCCCTTTTTACATTCCTGGTAGGTATTGCTGGTCCATGCTTTCCTCTTCTTGATATAACTTTTCAAAGAGCCAGGTGTAGTGGTTCACACCTATAATCCTAGCAGTCAAGAAGCTGAGGCAGGAGGATTGTTCGGAGTTGGCCTGAACTACAGAGTGAGACCCTAGCTAACACAGAACAAAACAGAATTCCCAAAGATGTGTCTGTTTTAGAGGAATTTTTCTTTGAGGAATTGCAGTGACCATTCTTGGGATGTCTTTTCTGTCTGCTGTTGACCTTCCCTCTTGAGGTCTTTGCTGTGCATAACTGGGGTTCTAAAGAGCTTGACAAATTGAGGAGCTGGGCATAGGGAAAGGCCGGTTTGTTCAACAAACACAGAGACCCTGTACAAGGCTTGCTCGCAATTTCAGGACAAACAGGCCTGACACTCCAGGACCCCATGATTCTAGCCTAGTGGGGAAACTTAGCAAAATAGACAACTGTAGATTGCAAAAACAAACCAAACAAGCAGATGCTTTTGTGTCTTCTCCTGTGGAGGCACCTGGATGGTAACTGAAGCCAAGCTCATTGCTTATTTTGCTCTCCCCTGGAAAGCAGCTTTCTGTTTTAGATCTTGTGGTTGAGAGTCACGTATAGGCTACCCTCCAAAAGATTTGTGGTGCTAAGAGCCCATTCTTGACAGGGTGCTTGCCACCTGGGGGTTCTCTCTGCCCACAGGACTCATATCACCTAGGATGCCACCCTTCTTCCTGAGCTGT